TACACTCCAGGGGGAGGCTACACTTCAAGAGGAAGCTACACTACAGGCGGAGGCTACATTCCAGGGGGAGGCTACATTCCAGGGGGAGGCTATACTCCTGGGGGAGGCTACACTCCACGGGGAGGCTACACTCCAGGGGGAGGCTACACTCCAGGGGGAGGCTACATTCCAGGGGGAGGCTACATTCCAGAGGAGGCTATACTCTTGTGGAAGGCTACATTCCAGGGGGAGGCTACACTCCAGGGCAAGGCTACACTCCAGGGGGAGACTGCACTCCAGGGGGATGCTACACTTCAGGGGGAGGCTACACTCCAGGGGGAGGCTACACTCCAGAAGGAGGCTACACTCCAGGAGGAGGCTACACTTCAAGAGGAGGCTACACTCTAAGGGAAGGCTACACTCCAGGAGGAGGCTACACTTCAAGAGGAGGCTGCACTCCAAGGGGAGGCTACACTCCAGCAGGGAGGCTACACTCATGGGGGAGGCTACACTCCATGGGGAGGCTAGACTCCAGTGAGAGGCTACACTCCAGGGGGAGGTTACACTCCAGGGGAGGCTACACTCCAGGGAGAGGCTACACTCCAGGGAGAGGCTACACTCATGGGGGAGGCTACACTCCATGGGGAGGCTACACTCCAGTGAGAGGCTACACTCCAGGGGGAGGTTACACTCCAGGGGGAGGTTACATTCCAGGGGGAGGCTACACTCCAGGGGAGATTACACTCCAGGGGGAGGCTACACTCCAGGGGGAGGCTACACTCCACGGGGAGGCTATACTCCAGGGGGAGGCTACACTCCAGGGGGAGGCTACACTCCAGGGAGAGGCTAAACTCCAGGGGGAGGCTATACTCCAGGGGGAGGCTACATTCCAGGGGGAGGCTACATTACAGGGGGAGGCTATACTCCAGGCGGAGGCTACACTCCAGTGGGAGGCTACACTCCAGGGGAGGCTAAATTTCAGGGGGAGGCTATACTCTAGGGGGAGGCTACATTCCAGGGGGAGGCTACATTCCAGGGGAGGCTATACTCCAGGGTGAGGCTACACTCCAGGGGGAGGCTACACTCCAGGGGGAGGCTACGCTCCATGGGGAGGCTATAATCCAGGGGGAGGCTACACTCCAGGAGGAGGCTACATTCCATGGGGAGGCTACATTCCAGAGGGAGGCTATACTCCAGGAGGAGGCCACACTCCACGGGGAGGCTACACTCCATGAGGAGGCTACACTCCAGGGGGAGGCTACATTCCAGGGGGAGGCTACATTCCAGGGGAGGCTATACTCTAGTGGGAGGCTACATTTCAGGGGCAGGCTACACTCCAGGGGGAGGCTACACTCTAGGGGGAGGCTACACTCCAGGGGGAGGCTATACTCCAGGGGGAGGCTACACTCCATGGGGAGGCTATACTCCAGGCGGAGGCTATACTCCAGGGGTAGGCTACACTCCAGGGGGAGACTACTCTCCAGGTGGTGGCTATTCTCCAGGGGGAGGTTACATTCCAGGAGGACACTCAGAAGTTTTGTAATAAAATATTTAACATTACGATTTTTTTATTTATTCTCTTATCAGTGTATTTTCTATCTGGGTAGATAAGTAAGTTGTGAAGTCAAGATATACTGGGTAATCCTCCACCTGGAACAGCAGTCAGTGTATGGTGCTGAAAGTCACTAAGTGGTATTGAAGGAAAAGCAATGATTGAGTAAGTATTTACCACTGGAATTACTATGGGAGTCACTATGTGTTGCAGTATAAGAGACGTAAGTAAGAAAATGTTGGGAATCTTTCATGTTGAAATAACATCTTCCTTCATGTGGTGTGTAATGACTTACCAGAAATAATAATATACAACGTAATTGAAGAAATGTATGCTTACCAGAATAACATTTTCTTGCAGTGCCGCTCGTGCACTTTTACTGCTCACCATTTGCATACCATTTTATCTTGTATCAAAAGCATATAGTGAATGAATACGACCTTGAAAATTATTTACTAAGGAGAGTGTTGTTTGTGTGTCTGCTTGTGACTGCTTGTTTGTAAATTTAAAAGTACTTGATAATATGTGTGTGTGTGTGTGTGTGTGTGTGTGTGTGTGTGTGTGTGTGTGTGTGTGTGTGTGTGTGTGTGTGTGTGTGTGTGTGTGTGTGTGTGTGTGTGTGTGTGTGTGTGTGTGTGTGTGTGTGTGTGTAGTAAAGAAATATTAACAGGTACTCTCTCTCACGCAAGTAAAGGTACATTCTTGTGGATGACCCCTAACAAATTAATTGTCATTACTAATTAAGGCAGGCGCACTCCTGCTGTGAACACGTGTAACATACTAAATTATCGTATATGGAGAAACTCTACCCACACGGAGCTGCGACTTAAAATGGGGTTGTGAGTTGCTTATATTCTGTACGTTCGAGAGGCAACACTGTGTTACAGACGGGGTTGCAGTGTGGAAATTTACTCTTTCGTAGGTGAGAGAGTTGTAAATGTTTGTGAGAGTTGTGAGTGCTTGAGGTTGCTTGTGAGTTTGTAGAGAGTGCTTCTGAGTTTGTAATAGTTGCAATTGTGGAGTTGTGAGTGTTTTTGAGTTGTGAGTGCTTGTGAGTTTCTAATGGTTGTAGGTGTGGGTTGTAGAGACTTGTAGAGTTTGGGTGTGAGTCTAGAGTGTTTGTGAATATGTAATGGTTAAGTTGTGATATTTGGTTGTTAGCTGTAGAGACTTGTAGAGTTTGGGTGTGAGTTGTGATTTTGGATGAAGTTTAGAAGTTGTGATTTTTGGATGAGTTTGTAGAGATTTGTGTAGAAATGTAAAGAGTGCTTGTAGAGAGTTTTATTGGTTGTGATTTTTGAGAATGTTTGTAATGGATGTGAATGTCACTTGAGTTGTGAGTGTTTATGAGTTGTGAGTGTTTATAAGTTGTGAGTGCTTGTGAGTTGTCCTTGTGAGAGGTGAGTACTTATGAGTTGTGAGTGCTTGAAAGTTTGTAGAGATGGTTGTGGTGGTTGTGATTTTTGGTTGTGAGTGTTTATGAGTGTCATTAGAGTTTTGCAGAATGGTATGGCTGTGAGTTGTGAGTTTTGTGTGCAGTTGAAGAGCTGTGGTTTATGGATGTGAGTTTGCAGAGAGAGAAAGAGAGAGAGAGAGAGAGAGAGAGAGAGAGAGAGAGAGAGAGAGAGAGAGACCAGTGTCACTCCTGTCAATAACTGGAAAGATCCTTGAGACAATAATCTCACGGCAAATGACAGAATTTTTGAATACCACTCACTTCTTTGCGACCGTCAACATGGCTTGAGAAAAGGTTACACTGCTGCTGATCTATTGTTAAACCTGTCCACTAAGTGGAACCAGTCACTGGATAAATCCAAACTCAGCACTGAATATTGCTGGTTCTTTCAACCGAGTATGGCAACAGGGGCTCTTGGCAAAACTGCAAGCACTGGGAAGTGCAGGCTCTGTACTGTCTCCTCAGTGATTACCTTCAAGGTAATCACTGGGTAGTTATTAATGGGACAAAGTCACCAGCACTTCCTACTGGGGCAAGTGTTCCACAGGGAAGTGTGCTTGGAATGTCTACTTCAACGACCTGCATCATCTCGTCCCAGAATCCCATGCATATGCAGATGACTGCACGCTGATATCTACTTATCCAAGAGAAGAAATACCAGCTGCTCTACGCTACGTCAATCACCTGCTTACACCTATACCAGTCTGGGGTTAACGATGGCAGGTAACATTTACTCCTGAGAAAACTCAAAAAATGATGGTCTTTAGGCACCATGATGATAATGCTGGAGTAGTGGTAAGTATGGATGGAAGGGTGTTGGTACCTGGGGATGAAGTTGATATCCTTGGGGTGAAAATCGACGCCAAACTGACCATGAAGAACCACTTTGTAAACCTGGCAAACAAAGCGGCAAGGATGCTTACTGCTGTTCGACGTGTCTTGCAGCTGCTTGATAGTATTATTATTATTACAATCAAGGGGGAAGCGCTAAACCCGGAGGATTATACAGCGCCTGGGGGGGGGGATGTGGAAGGCATTCAGGCTTAATTTGGGGAACTGGAGCACAGATCCAATTCCCTAAATCAAGAGCCCCTCACCAACATCAAGGAACCTTCCTTGAGGGGTGCTTGATAGTAGAGGTTGCAAAATTCTGTATGAGGCACAAGTACGCTCACACCTTGAGTATTCTCCACTTTCTTGGACTGCCTGCCCCCCATCTCATCTGCGACTGCTTGACAGAGTAGAGAACAGAGCAAGACGCCTCATTTCTCGCCTGGAGCCATCCTGGATAGATCTGTCATTTCAGCAGAGCCTTCAACACAGGAGGGATCTGGGTGGCCTTACTGTTATGTACAAGGCCAACACTCTCAAAGTACCACACTTGGCTCCACTCCAAATACAGCGAGAAACAAGCTTCTACACCACAAGACGGGCAGCAAGCAGCAACTTCGCTCCGTACCCTTCTCTAGGACATCGCTACATCTACGATCATTTATTCCTAGGATGACTCGAGTTTGGAAATATGTTCATACAGCATAACGATATCAACGAAATAAAGTCGGCTGATCAAATGAAATTGCTGGTCTACAGATGGTCCCAACTTCATCCTGTTCCCTACTTGTATGTCTCACAACAATAAAAAATGGGCTTTTAAATGAGCTGATGTAGGTAACAGCTCTTAGCATGTCAATAAAGTTAGGAATCCATAACTTGTCAATAATAATAAAGCTTGTCAATGAAGTTAGGAATTTTTAACCTAACCTTGTCAAACCTTGCGCAAAAGAGCGGGAGGGAGAGCGAGAGCGAGAGAGAGAGAGAGAGAGAGAGAGAGAGAGAGAGAGAGAGAGAGAGAGAGAGAGAGAGAGAGAGAGAGAGAGAGTCTTGGGACGGGGGGTGACAAGTCTCTGTGAGTCGAGTCATAGCGAGTCATGGTACACTACTGTTAATGCTCTATTAAACTGCAATAATGTTAATACTAGACAGTTAAAATTTGCTGTGAAGGTTGTGACTGACCATTAGAAAAGGACATGAAGGCAGCGGCAAGAACAAGCAGGATCCGTCTTCCCACTTTATCCATGAGTCCTGCTCCAAGCACTGTGGCTACCACTTGCACACCAGCAATGATCACAGAGCTCCCTGCCTCGGACATCTTGCTGCCAGAGTCCTGTTAACAAAAAGTAATGAAACTTAAATGTATAACGTATACTTTACATAAAACTTTGAACCAGCGTGTCACTAATTATTTCTCGCACATACTTCTGGTAGTTTGCGCTAAAATAGCATTAAAACCATAACAAAGAATATTGGACACTAGACGAAGAAAGGGCAATTCTGCTTTGTAATCATCAACTAAGAAACACATTATGAAAATAGTTCCAGTATGATACTATGAATGGAGTGTTCAGTGACGAATGTTTGTCTTCAAGTACCCGCGCTCCTTGATGATGGAGATATCTTCATAAATATTCAATTTCTTATGTGAATGGGATAGAGTTGATAGACTATCCTGAGAGATAGTAATTCCCGAGTGACAGTAACTCCAGGTATACTGGAAAAAAATCTTTGAAGCTTCCCTAACTGACAAACTGACGATATCCTCACTATTCCTGCTGAAGTAGTCCTGCTCAGACTGAGGGATTTCAACACCTTGTATGTGCCCTATTCTGCGTGATGGAATTGGACAGGGAAACACAGATAGTAAATATCATGTAAAATAAGATAGCAGTACACGTCTAATATCTCCAGTTTTGTTAAAAAACTTGCTAGTGAGATTCAGATGAAAGACGCTAGAAAAAGAATTTAATAGAAGAGGTATGAACGTCAACCTGAAAATACGACCACCGCTAAAAAAAATGTTGTCGAAGTTAGTACATATCTGTTTATCCTGAGTGCCTCGTGTTTTGTCAACTCAAGAAGATGTTTACATATCCGTCAGAGATTTACATATGTGACAGTCATCAGAAATCTTTCAAAAATATTTTTTTTGAAAACGCGTTAACTGAATGACAACTAGATTTGCGAGATAAACCACTGAGCTGTAACTCAACATCTGTAAGGTCGGTGTCTCTTCACCGCCCTCACTACCACCACTGCCCATCTCAACCACCCGCTGTCGTCACGCTCCATCGCCGCCCACAGTCACTGCCTCATGCACATCCCACCTATCCTTTTCTTGTAGCCACCACCGCCCATCGCTTCCCCGACACCACTTCCGCCCGAGAGGTCCCCACCGCCCAGCTAACAGTTCTGGTCTGTAGTAAACCGAGAGTGTTAAGACCTAAACGGTTCGATTTTCAGATCAGGGTCTTACTCCACTACCGTGGATCAAACTACATTCACTAGTTTTTTTTAAATCAAGACCAACCAGCTCCATTTCCTCGTATCAACACCAACTATCTCCAGTTCCTCACATCATGACCAACTAGCTCCAGTTCCTCATATCAAGCTCATCAATAAAACATTGTATTTTTTTTTTTTTTAGAAAATTAATTTCATAGTTACAATCAGTATTTTAAGCAGATTTTCAGTGTTAAAACGATTTAGTAATTATGAAAAAAAAATGATTTTCAAATTCAAATTCAAAGTTTATTCTCTATAAGGATTACAATGCTGAGTTTACAGAAATTTGGTTATTGTGTGGTTTACATGTAGTAAAATAGTGATTACAGAGTGTACCACTAGAACGCTTAGCATGGCTAGGCATTTCGGGCAGACTTAGTTTTATTCTTAATTGTAAAATATTACAAATTATGAGGTAAGTTGGTATTATGGCTAAGTGACTAAATACTAGTTTGTGAGTTTAGCAATGTGAATGCTTTTGTTTTGGCACAGTACATAGTTTCAGTATTGGAGTATCACAGGATTCATTATTTTAAGACTGAGATTAATATTTCTGTTTATGGTCAAATGAGTGAGTGTAAGTGTGAACCACCAGGTGGTATTCGTGTAGTTAGCTGACGGGGTGTATCAGGGAGATAAGATGTTTTTTAATGGTAGTTTTGAAGGTGATGAATGTGTCTGCAGTTCTAGAGTTCTCAGGTAGGGTATTCCAGATTTTAGGGCCTTTGACATACATTGAATTTTTGTAAAGGTTTAGTCGGACACGGGGAATGTCGTAGAGATGTTTGTGTCTGGTGTTATGCCTGTGGGTTCTGTCACAACTATCAAGAAAGCGTTTTAGGTCAAGGTTGATATTAGAGTTTAAGGCCCTGTAGATGTAGATTGCACAGTAGTAAGTGTGGATGTACTGAACTGGGAGTAAGTTTAGGTCTATGAAGAGTGGGGGGGGGGTGTTGCCAGGGATGGGATTTAGTGATTATTCTTACTGGAGCTTTTTGTTGGGTTATTATTGGCTTTAGGTGTGTTGCTGCAGTTGATCCCCAAGCACAAATAGCATAGGTGAGGTATGGATAAATAAGTGAGTGGTATAGTGTGAGAAGGGCATTTTGCGGCACGTAGTATCGTATCTTGGAGAGGATCCCAACCGTTTTGGATACTTTTTTGGTTATATGCTGGATATGGGTGCTGAAATTCAGGTTGTTGTCAAGGTATAAGCCTAGGAATTTTCCCCCATTATTTCTGGTAATTAGAGTGTTGTCAATCTTAATGTTAATTTGTGCATCTCCTGCTCTGCTACCAAACATAATATAGTAGGTTTTGTCAGTGTTAAGCGTAAGTTTATTGGCTGTCATCCAAGTCGATATTTTAATCAGCTCCTCATTCACAATGGTGTTGAGGGTGGCAAGATTAGGGTGAGAGATGACATAAGTCGTGTCATCAGCAAAGAGAATGGGTTTCAGGTGTTGGGATACGTTTGGAAGGTCATTGATGTATATGAGGAAGAGCAGGGGACCAAGGACACTTCCCTGCGGAACTCCAGTATCAAGTGGCCGTGTTGCTGATGCTGCGTCTTTAATGGTGACGTACTGATACCTATTAGTAATGTAAGATTTTAAATAAGCAAGCGCATGGCCTCTTATACCGTAGTGATCAAGTTTGAGGAGTAGAATGTCGTGGTCTACTGTGTCAAAAGCTTTTCTTAGGTCAATAAAAATTCCTAGTGGATATTCCTTATTTTGCACTGAGAATTTAATAAGTAGGGTTTTAATAGTGGGGAAACATGCATTTAGCACCATTTAATGTTAAAAAAAAAAACTACAAATAGGCTCAAATTGCCTTAAATGCCATTTTAAAACCAATGGGTTCGTAAATAATCTGCATATTATTTTGGCATGCTCCTAACAACATGCCATACTCATTAAAAATTCCCATACTCGGTCACAAGAGTCAAATTAAGATAATATACAATCCCACTTAGTCCATAACACGTCTTCTTCCGCCAAAAATATTAGATTCCACAGGGAAGTGTCCTTGGCCCACTTCTCTTTCTCATTTACATAAACGACCTACAAAATGCATCTCAACTACTCAAACCCATACTATTTGCAGATGACACTACATACGTCTTCTCTCACCCAAGCCCAGTCATGCTAGCCAATACTCAATACTGTAAATACTGAATTACAGAAAATATCTACCTGGATGATGATTAACAAACTTACTCTCAATATTGACAAAACCTATTTCATTCAGTTTGGGAACAGAGCTACAAATGTTCCTCTTAATATAATGATAAACGGTTCACCCATCACAAAACTCACAGAGGAAAAATTCTTAGGAATCCACCTTGATAATAGCCTCAAATTTCAGACACATGTACAACAAATTTCCAAAACAGTTTCCAGGACCGTAGGCATACTATCGAAGATACGGTACTATTTTCCACAATCAGCCCTCCTGGCCCTGTATCACTCAATTATTTACCCCTATCTCACCTAATGTAATCTGTGCAAGGGGCTCAACAATAATAAATAATCTAAGACCATTAATTACCAAGCAAAAGGCTGCAGACAAAATTTTAACAAATTCCCACTCCAGACAGCGAAACGTCTACGATAGGGATGGCCGGGTGTTGCGCATGTGTCTTAATTTCATCTTGTCGGTATTATATACCATTCTTGTACTACTACTACTACTACTACTACTACCACCACCTCTTCCTGCCTATATATAGCCGTCCTGCTCCACTTCTGGTTAGTGTGACTTTGTAAATGGTCCAAGTCGGACCGAAACGTAGTCGTAAGCTTCTCTCTTTTACGTGCGGGTTATTTGTGTATTGTGTATCACTCCACCAATATTCAAAAGTCTAAACTTACTCACCGTAGAAAACATCCATACTTATTATTGTGTCTCCTACATACATAGAACATTAAACTCAGATATAAACCCTCCCTTCAAACTTCTCCTTACCAACCTTAATAGAACACATGACCATAACACAAGACACAGATCACTTTGATGTTCCCCGTGTCCATCTCACACGATGTAAAAACTCAATGCACATAAAAGGCCCAAAAATTTGGAATTCATTACCATTGCTTACCAAAGAAACACTGTATATCAATTCAAGACTCTTCTAAAAAACTACCTACTCACCCAAAACTCAATACACAATACTTAATTTAACTTTACCTACATAGTTAATAAATCACTTTCTACTGCCTCAAAATATCATTACTCACTGTGTTACTCACCTAGCCTTAGGACCCCATAATTAAATACTCAAAGATCAATAAATTCTCATATTTTATCTAATGTAAATACTGAACAACTTACATTTGATAAATGTATAACCCAGTTGAATAATTAGAAAAACATTATCAAACTATGTTATTATAGCATTACCTAGTAGAATAATCCATTCTCTTGAATGCACTGTAACTCAGCTAATGACCATATGAACTGTTGCTGCACTACAGATCATTGATTTGATTTGAACAGATCTGATTAATAAATTGTACGACTACATATAGTAAATTGATCAATTTCTTATGTTATTCTTTGTAATGTTACGAAATTGTAAAAACTATAAAGATTCAAAATTGAAATGTTAAAATTTCATTGTTTAAAATACTCAATTGTACTTGATATTGTTTTAATTGTTTACGATAACTGTTCCATTAATCTCACGTTAATTTTAAGCTGCCCATAATGTTCACAATACAAGGGGCTCTTGATATATACACCCAACTACTATAATACCTGCCACAACTATGCATCATGCCTTAAAAAACTATTATTATTACCATTATTATTATTATTATT